TGACGATGGTGCATTTCTCGGGTTTCACTCTTTCTCGAGTTTTCTAGCTGTTTATAACTATTAGTTTGATATTAGTACTGATTGATTATTGCTTCTATGTTTTTTTATTTTTTTTGCCATGGAACCAATTCTTTAGGATAATTTGTTAACACATTTTGTAACACTCGTTTTCATTTTGAATGAAATATTTACCATTTAGAAAAAAAAAACAATTAATATTGAACTTTTAGTTTAAATCAAATTTCAATCCAAAACTAAATAAATAGACTTATTTATCTTTCAAAATCAAATAGATGTATAAAATAAGGATATCAATTATTTACAACATAAAGCGTATTAAAATATTGATATTTCAGATATCGACAAATAAATTCTTGGACTGAAAAAATTTCAAGAAACTAAGAAATTAAACAATTCTAACTGGACGACAAAAAAAAAAAACAATTCTAACTGCGATATTCTTTTTTATGATGGATTTTTTATGGTCAATTTCCTTCACCTTTTTTTTAACCGGAAAAAAAAGCAGTGTTTTCGGTTTCTCTCCCAACAAGCTTCTCTGCAATCTGACTTTCCCCACCACAAATCTACAATAATGGCGAATAACGAAGAACTCTCTGAAGATTCGAACTCCAATGGAGGAGACCCGTTTGACGCAGTAAAACAACGTTTCAAGGATCGATCAAAGGTACCCCTTTGTCGCTTCAGTAGAATCGATTTCAATAATTTGATTTAGGCAAATATTTTGATTGAATTTTCGTCTTTTTTTTCTTGATCACAGAAAGTTGTTCAGACGAGAGAGTTGTTGTCCAAACAAGCGGTGCAGACGCGTGAGATCTTATCGAAACAGGCCGTTAAGATCGCCAAACAAGCCGAAGAACACGAGAGATTCATCAATAAGGCATCTTCTTCTTCTTCTTGTCCTTCTTTTTTCTATCTCATAGTATTCCTACTCGGAGAATTTCATTTGAAACGTGATATTTAGACAGGACTTGAATGGTATGTAACGTAGATAGTAATATAAGACAATAATCGAATGGTTCAATACGCTAAACAACTGGATTTAGTAGATTAATGACGTTTTGGGTATTTGTTTAAGTTATATTTTATAGAGCAGAATCACTTTTCGAAAACGTAACAACTTGATAAATCTTCCTGAATATAAGGTGAGTAAGTTGACTTATGGCCACCTTGCTACAGATGAAAACTAGTTGAGCATGCATATGAATCTTGATTAATTATTTAAGAAAAATATATTCATCTTGTTGTTTCTGGTTTGCATTTGTATGATTTTTTGCTATTTCGTTTGAAATGTTTGATTTTATGTGTTAAAGGTGACCCATCTTGTTGGGGTGCTCGGATTTGGAGGTTTTTGTTTCCTACTTGGAGCGAGTGAGTTAAAAAACGTGATATAAGTCAAAACAAAAAATCTAGGATTATAAATAATTGTTGGTAATATATTGATGGTTTGTTCTCAGGGCCTCAGGACATTCCCATCGTTTACTGCTTCTTCTACGTCATCTTTGTTCCTCTCCGATGGATATATTACCGGTTTAAGAAATGGCATTATTATCTTCTGGTAATGTCTCTACACCCTTAAATTCTAGGTTTTGAAACCAACACTCCGCATTTGCTTATTCTTAAAACATTTTGTGCTTGTGATAGGACTTTTGCTACTACGCCAACACAATCTTCTTGGTTGATCTTCTTCTGTATCCTAGAAATGAAAAGCTTTTCATGGTTTGCTTCTCCTTTGCAGAGGTATACTTTTGTTACTAGATGGAAACATTTATATGAGTCTTTGTGTGCCACTGTTCAAGCTGATTTTTAATTGGTTGCATTCTTGTACTGCGGTTTATCTGCAGGGACCATTGGCCTGGGCAATTATTGTCTGGCGTTGCAGCCTGGTTTTTAGTTCGCTTGATAAGATTGTTAGTGTTCTTATACATCTCTTACCTGGTGAGTTATATAATCTTTTTCTTTCTCTCCATGTTGGGAAAGAAATGTTTGAGATTCATATTGCTAAACTTGACGGTTTTAATTCAAATTATAAGATGAAACTTATTAAGTTATTCAAATCATGGTTTTAAGATTTGATCTTGCATAAAAAAAAAACATGAATAATGCAGATGATTTTTCTAAGGGTATGCTTATTCTCCTGAATTCGTAAGTCTTGCAATGACTTTGGTTTCAGGGCTCGTGTTCTTCACGATTAGGTGGTGGAATCCAGCGACCTTTGCAGCTATGCACCCTGTAGGCACTGATCGTAGAGCTTCATGGCCTTACGTGGAAGACAAAGCTTACCTCTTCACATGGCTGTTTCTCATCCCCTTGGTGGTTTACACTCTTTGGCAAGTTCTCTATTTTCTAATCGTCAATGTCCTGCGTAGGCAGAGACTCCTAAGAGATCCTGAAGTTATGACTTCCTACAGGTATTTTGGGACTAAAACAATGTAACGTATTCTTACCGCAGACAGAACTTAACCTGATGTAATCTCCTGGTCTATGCAGAGAGCTGTCAAAGAAAGCTCAAAAGGCAAACAATAAACTGTGGCAGCTAAGTGGTCTGCTAGGGGATCAGAACCGTATGTGGATGTACATCCTCTACCAGGCCATTTTCACGGTGGCAACCATGGCATTGACAGTACCGATCTTCTTATCTTATAGACTTCACGTGATCTTTCAGATCCTAAAGATCTCAGCTGCAGTGTGGAACGGAGGTAGCTTTTTACTTGAGGTAATGCCTCGGCAAGTGATCCAGAAAGAGGAGAAGAAGAAAACAGAGATGCACCCGGTAGAGGAGCATCATGAACCGGCTCAGAATGAGCCAAAAACTACTGAAACATGATGGTTATTACAGAAAGGTACAGATGAAATATAAGGCATGGCAGAATCTTGGTTTTGTTTTGTTCCTCGTGTTTTTGTTTTTATGACGGTTTGTTCCTGTTGTTAGTTTATACAGTCATTCTAAAAGTTTAATAGTAAATGAAATTGTAGTTTGCCTTCTCTGTAGAAGCTGGTCCTACTTTAGAATATACGAAAACTAGCCAATTCTCTTTATAAGAAGACGAATTCATCTTCTTCTGTTAGAGAACAGGAATCGAGAGGAAGAAGACGATAGGAAAAGATTTTTATTCTCATTATTGTTGAAATGTTGTTACATATAGAGTGTAGTATATGAACAACTAACTACCCAGTTTAAGCCAGTTTACAACCGATACATGGTTAACTCCAATATTCTCCCTCAAGATGGCGAGAATATAGAGATTAACGTCATCTTGCCAATAAGAGATTTAAACTGAGTTGGAAACAAAGGTTTAATAAAAACATCCGCAAGTTGAAGATCAGTTGTGATATGAAGAAGCTTGACTAAACCGCTTTCCACTCGATCCCTTACCATATGACAATTTAATTCAATGTGTTTAGTCCTTTCATGGAACACTGAATTAGATGCAATATGCATTGCTGCAGTAGAATCACAGTAAAACGCAACTGACTGTGTTTGAGGAGCATCAAACTCATGTAGAAGATGCACCAACCATTCAATTTCTCGAACAGCAAACTCCATGGCTCTGTATTCAGACTCTGCAGAGGAATGAGAAACCGTTGGTTGTTTCTTTGACTTCCACGAAATCAAAGAAGAACCAATGAACATACAAAACCCAGAGGTAGAACGTCGTGTGTCAGAACATGATGCCCAGTCCGCATCAGTGAATCCTTTAAGTATAAGATCTGAATCCACTGAATAAAACAAACCAAGACCAATTGTACCTTTAAGATACCTGAGCACACGATAAGCTGCTTGAAGATGTGATTTCTTTGGAGTAGAAGTAAACTGACAAAGTCTGTTAACAGCGTACGTAATATCAGGACGTGTTATAGTCAAGTACATCAGTTTACCCACCAGTCTTCGATAAACGAGACCATCTTCAAGAACAGGTTCGTCAGAGTCTTGACAGAGTTTAACATTTGGATCCATGGGAATGTTAGAGGGTTTACAGGCTAACATACCAGCTTCATCAAGAAGTTCCAGAACATATTTCCTCTGACACAAAGATATACCTTTGCTTGAGCGAGCAATCTCTAGGCCGAAAAAAATATTTCAGAGGACTTAAGTCTCTTAACTTGAATGCAGCTTGAAGATCAACTTTGAGTTGGGAGACATCAATGTCATTGTTGCCTGCAATGATAATGGCATCCACATATACCAAGACAGCTACATATCGACCCTCAATGTTTCGGATGAAAAGAGTATGGTCAGCTTGAGATTTTCGAAAACCAAGACCAAGTAGAGTAGAGCTAAACTTTAGAAACCACTGACGTGAAGCCTGCCCATAAAGAGATTTCCGGAGCTTGCAAACATCATTTTGTGGAAGAAGTTCCCCCTCTCTTGGTGTATATCCTGGAGGTAGTGACATGTATATTTCCTCGTTCAAATCACCATTGAGGAATGCATTGGAAATGTCTAGTTGAGTTAGACTCCAATTCTTAGCGGCAGCAACGACAAGCATTGTTCTCACAGTTGTCATCTTGGCTACAGGGGAGAATGTGTCTAAAAAATCCACTCCAGCCTGTTGTGTATAGCCCTTAGCGACTAACCGTACCTTGTACCTCTCTAAGCTACCATCAGAGTTGAGCTTAATTTTGTAAACCCATTTACAGCCAATGGCACGCTTTCCTGGAGGTAAAGAGACAATATCCCAAGTATGAGTACCTTCCAATGCTATGAGCTCTTCATTCATTGCTTTGAGCCACTCTTCAAAGTTCTTGGCTTGAGCAAATGATTTAGGTTCTGGATGAATGTTCATAGAACAAATGTAATCCTTGTAACCTTCTGAAAATTGGTCATAAGAGAGGTAGCAAGCGATAGGATAAGGGATATTGGTTTCAGTCATATTACAGTAATAGTCCTGTAAACACGCCGGAGTTTTGGTAGTTCTCTTTCTATCAGTTTAATCTGTACTAAAAGTTTCTAAAGGCATATAACTACCGGGGATATCATTTTAAGGAATATCAACCCTACTGTTACTAGAACCTAAAGAATCCAATACAGCATCAAAAAACGTAGTTGAGTAATCAGTCTGACCTGTGAAAGGAAATATGTCTTCATGAAATGAGACATTCTTGGAGATGTGAATCTTATTTGTCTCCATGTCCAACAGCTTATAACCCTTATATCCTGCAGGGTAGCCAAGAAAAACACAGGGACGTGAGCGAGGTTGAAACTTGTGTCTGCCTTTTGAAGAGGTTGAGCAGTAAGTTAAACAACCGAAGACTCTTAATCCCTTGTAATCTGGTCTTTTGGATGTAAGGACTTCATATGGACTTTTGTCTTGAAGTAATGGGGTTGGCAATCTGTTTATTAAGAAAACTGCAGTCAGGACGCAATCTCCCCAATATTCAAGAGGCACATGTGACTGAAACATCAGAGAACAAGCTACGTTGAGGATGTGTTGGTGTTTCCTTTCGACAACCGAGTTTTGTTCTGGTGTTTCAGGACATGAGTGATAGCTGATGATCCCTTTGCTTTTGAACAGAGCTTCAAATCGTAACTCTGGAGCATTATCAGATCGGACTGCTTTGACCATTGTTTGATACTGCGTTTCAATCATCTTCAAATAGTCAAGAAACACAGTTAGCACTTCGTCTTTTGTTTTCAAAAGATAGATCCATGTAACTCTGGTATGATCATCCACAATGGTCAAAAAATATTGATGTCCTTCAACAGTAGGCACAGAAAAGGCCCCATATGTCTATCTGAAGTAAATCAAAGGCATTTGCAGACATGTTGTTCTTGGAAATAAACGGAAGATGCTTTTGTTTAGCAAGAGGACACACATCACAGTGAAAAGATCCTTTATTCCTTTGTTTAAATCCAAGTACATGTATAAGAGAATCTATCTTTTGAATGGAGGGATGACCTAGTCTATTATGCCATAAGCTATAGTCAAGCACGACATTCGATATTACAGAAGACTGAAGAGCTGTAGAGTTATCAAAAACAGGTGCATCCAGTACATATAGGTTGGAGATTGCTTCACCCTGACCAATCATCAATCCCTTGATAGGATCCTGTATAACACAATTATCTTGATCAAACGTTACTCGATAACCCAGATCCTTCGTCAACTGACTGATACTCAACAGATTCAATCTGAAGTCCGGTATAAACAATACGTTCTTCAAAACAAGTTGATCACCTAACCGTACTGTTCCAAAACCAGCTATGTTCACTCCTAAACCAGTAGGCAAAGTGACTGATTTGTTCACAGATTCAGATAGTGATTCAAACAAGCTTCTATCATGAGAGACATGGTGTGTAGCACCACTATCTACTATCCAAGATGCAGTAGACAATTTGTTATTTGTTGACCTCATTACCCCAACAAAACATAATGTGGAAGATGAGAAAGCCATACCAGGAAGAGCAGTAATGGTTCCACTCGGTAATGAAGCAACTGATCCAGTGTTGACAGAATCTGCAGAAGGTTGAAGTTGCGAATTGAAGTATGCAATTACCTCTTGTATTTGATTCTTAGTCAATGTATTGATCATGTTGACTGAAGTTTGAGCCTGTGAAGTGGAATCATTGAGAGCCACCTGAGCAACAACAGGTTTGGTAGAACCAGAAGCTTTATCTGTAGATTGTTTCTGCTTGTGTTTCAAGTTTGGTGGATAACCGTGTATCTTGTAGCACATGTCCACACTGTGTCCATTGTAGCCACAATGAGAGCAAATAGGACGATTCTGCTTCTGATTGTTGAAGGTATTTTGAGCTGCATTAATGGAAGCTTGCGATGGATCAGGTGCAGAAACAGCAAAGGTAGCTGCATTTTGAAACGTAGAAATGTTTCTTTAGCTATGATCCTGATCCAGCAAGTTGTATATTTCCGAGAGCTCAGGGACGTTTTTCTTCATTATGATCTGACTGCGAATAGTAGCATAAGATTCATTCAAGTCAGCTAAGAACTTGAAGACTTTGGTGTGCTCAGCCTTTGTATCAGTAGCTTTGCAACATGAACAATTGTGGCAGGTTTCAACACAGTTTGCTCCATCTAATTCATCCCATAGAGTCTTCAAGGTGGTGTAATACGATGCAAGATCCATTGAACCTTGTTGCAACGACCAAATCTGCTGAGATAACTGATAGGAGCGAGGTATATTCGTGATATGAAACCGAGCCTTTAGATCCTTCCATATTTCAGATGCATCATTGAAACGGAGGATAATTTTGTAGATTTGCTTCGAAACAGAGTTTAAAAGCCAAGATTTCACCATTGAATTACAGCGAGACCAAATCCTAAAGTTTCGATGAGCTTCGTTTGGACGAGCAATGGATCCATCAATAAATGTCGTTTTGTTCTTAGCATCTAGAGCTATAGACATTGCGATACGCCAATTATCGTAGTTACTGCCATCGAGAACTTCAGAGATCAAGGAAATACCAGGATTGTCGCCATTCGTCAAATAAAATGGAGAATCTATGTTATCTGGCGATTCCAACGATGAGATTGGAGAATCGGGAGCTGAATCTTCAGGATTAGAAGATTTTCGGCCTGACGATGTTCCTCGAACAAGGCGGCGTGTAGGTTTGCAAGCTATAACCATTGTAGAAGATATGTAGGTCGAGATTTCACGATTTTTAGCGATTCTTGGCAGAATGACCAAAAATCAATCGGTGAAATTCGAAGAAAAGGATTAATCGGCGAGAATCGAATGATTAATCGAGGTCAAAAGTAAGCAGAAGAGAAGAAAAGGAATTGAACACTTGAATTTTCGTGACTCAAGAGCTCTGATACCATGTTAGTGAACAGGAATCGAGAGGAAGAAGACGATGGGAAAAGATTCTTATTCTCATTATTGTTGAAATGTTGTTACATATAGAGTGTAGTATATGAACAACTAACTACCCGGTTTAAGCCGGTTTACAACTGATACATGGTTAACTCCAATATCTTCCTATACATATGAACTAGTCAAGGTATTGTCTCATTTTTCTTCACTTCTCTACTATATCCTCAAGAAGTAATACTAAAGCGCTAGTGAAAAATCTCAATCATCATGAAATTGAAAGAGTTTGGAATCCTCAAAAGATCATCTAAGAGCTGTTTCGTAATATCCTGGATGACGACTAAAACCCTCTTCTTCATCTAGTGACTTAGAAGGCATGAGGCTCTTTCGCTTTTAACGAAAACGACATGTCGACTCTGTGTTTTGGTTCAGGTTACGAACCGACGGTTTTATACCTGGTTTGATGATTTCTGTACCTGGTTCGCTCTTTCTTAACAGGAAGAAATTCTCGTCTGCCAGTAAGTAGTGTTGATTTATTCTACCCTGCCCAAGTTATTCTCTCATACCAGCGGTGGTCCCCTTTCCTTTTAATGAAATGTGTTATCCCCATATTACCCTTAACTGTGAATTAGGAAAATGAATAATCGACCAATGAGAATTAAGAATGTTCAGCCAATCATAAGTCTTGGTGGGAATTGTCGACCAATAAGAAAGAACGAGATTTCAGCCAATAAAAGCATTTCAATGAAACTTGTTATCCCCATATTGCCCTTTTTCTCGACAATTCCATTAATGGAAAAGCCCAACAAGAAGCCCAGTCCCCATATTGGTCGGGCAATAACTAAAATGAATAATTGGAATTCATGATAATTTCAACCAACCAAAAGTGTTAATTTCAACCAATCCAAAAGTGCTAGAAGGAAATGTCGACCAATAGGAAATAGGGAAGTTTCAGCCAATTAAAACATTTAGGACCAAATTTTAACCCAATCAGAAATCAGGTCGATCTTGGTCTTATTCTACTTTCCTGGGTTTGCTGAAAACTGGGTTTGCATCGTTTCGTTTGCATGCAACATCTCCTCTCTTTAGGAAATTCGACGGGGCTTTTACTCTTCCATTCCAACGCCGAAGGACGAGGTAAGTTTTTCTTCATCCTCGGCGTCTGTATTTTCTTGTGAAGTCGCTAAATGATTGGAAGCCCAGGAACAATTGGGTTTTGGATATAATTTCGATTTACAAAATAGGGCAATTCAGAATGGGGAGAGTTAATTTTTTTATTCACATTGGGTCGCATATTCTCTTTTAATTGACTGGTGAGGTTTAATCGTAATGAGATTTATTTTGTACACCAAATTCGCCGATTCAGGATAACTGGGGGACAATTTGGTTATAGTAGGAGTTTTCGTATAACTCAGAACAATTGGTATTAATGAGTTAAGTATATATATTTTTTTTTTCAGAACACAATGATAACAAACATATTGTTTGATTATGGAGGACATTATTCATGTACCGATGATAAATGGATTTCAAGAGAAGGTTCCATGTACGGTATAATGTTTAAGACATCAGGCTTAGAGGAAATAAGCTATTCCGATTTAGTGGGTAGGATATGCAAGAAGGTTGGGATAGGAGAATCATCCACAAAGTTGAAACTGAATTATATTCCAGTAGTAGTGCAAACGAAGAAACAGTGGTATATTTTGGATGACGATGATCTCGGTATCTATCTGACGTCGTTTGATAATGAGGGACGCAGAAGTGTCTTGTATGTAGAGGTCATCAATATAGATGGAGTGTCTGAGGTGGCCGAGCAAGTTTCACATGTAGAGAGGGTAAGTCTTGTTGTTGTGAATGTCAAGGAGGTGAGCGCAGCTAATGATATAGCGAGTGATGGCGTTTTTGTCGGCAATGCTGAGTTTAATGATGGTGCTATTGTTATGTACACAGGAAACGGTTCAACAGAACAACAACATGTGCCAGTAATGGGGAATGACGAAGGTGTTAATCTATCTCGTGAGAATGAGGAAAACGGTGGAGATCAAGATGACATAAGTCAAACATATCGAATGCTTGATATTATTGATCATCCAGACTGTGTAGAAGAACAACGTATTCAACGTGAATGGGCAGACGGTTTGAAACTAAGAGTTGGTGCAGAGTTTAGCTGTAAGCAGGAGCTAATAGATTTAGTTTACAGAGGTTCTCATAAACATTGTTTTGGCATCACTGTACACAAGTCTGATAAGAAACGATACTACGTGAAATGCGGTCAAGCTGAAACTGGATGTAACTGGTATATAAATGCCGCTAAGACAGCTCAGTCACATATTTTCACGGTTAGAGTATATAGGAAAATGCATTCCTGCTCTCGGGCTTCTGCGTGTACTAGCAGCAAACGAAGGAAAGGCACAACTGGGTTAGTTGCAGGCGTTGTTAGTAAAACTTACCCAGGTCGATTAAAACCACCACATCCTAGAGATATCATGGCTTTGGTTCAAACTAGAGGTCGTGTGGAGGTATCATACTCTACGGCATGGAGAGGCAGACAGAAAGCTATAAGTTATGTTCGTGGTACTCCAGAAGAGAGTTTCGAGCATCTGCATTCGTATTTGTACATGATAGAGCAGTTTAATCCTGGTACGACATCAAGTGTTGAAGTGGATGAGTTAGGAAGATTCAAGTACCTGTTCGTCGCTCTGGGTCCTACCATAGAAGGGTTTGCGGCAATGAGGGAAGTGATAATTGTTGATGCAACTTTTTTGAAGAATGGATTTGGTGGATGCCTTGTATTTGCAACAGCTCAGGATCCGAATCATCACCATTATCCCCTTTCTTTTGGGGTAGTTGATGGGGAAAATAATGATAATTGGAACTGGTTCTTCACTAAACTTAAAACCCGTATACGTGACAGTTCTGAATTGGTGTTTGTTTCTGACAGGAATGTAAGCCTGATCAATGCAATAAGGGATGTGTACCCGCAAGCTAAGCATGGTTATTGCATTTATCATTTGGCCCAGAATGTGAAAAAGAACGTTCGGAGAGAGAAATAATTAGTTGTAGGCAAGTTCATGGAAGTTGCGAGGAAGTATACAGAGGCTGAGATTCTTGTGGCTTATGATCAACTGGGAGAAAAGTATCCGGATGCAATTACGTATTTATGTAATAGTTTTCTTGAGGAAAAATGAGCAAGGTGCTATTTTCCGGGAGAAAGGTACAACATCGACACTAGTAACTGTGTAGAGTCTATGAACAGCGTGTTTGATGATGCGAGGAAGTATGCTTTATTACCTATGATGGATGCCATCTTGTCAAAGGTATCTGAGTGGTGTAACAAACATAGGAAGGACGCTGCTACAGCACCTGGAGCACATAAACTGGTTCCCTATGTCGAAAATGTCTTACACGGGAGAGTTGAAATTGCTCAGTCCCTAAATGTGACTGAGCTGAACTCGTTTCTGTTTGAATACGCTGTGGTCGGTGGAGATGGGAAGACTTATCTGGTGAACTTGAAAACCAAATCTTGTTCATGCAGATGGTTTGATATAGACAAGTATCCTTGCGTCCATGCACTTACCATAAGAATTTTTATGGCCAGGGAAGATAGAAGTGAGGACATTCACTCGTATGATTTGTGCTCCAAGTATTATACTACGGAATTGTGGGCACTTGCATATGCCAGGACGGTATACCCTGTTCCTCATCTTTCACAATGGGTAATTCCAGATGATATCGAAAAGAAGACTGCCCCAAAACAACCTGAGGTCCCGAAAAAAGCTGGAAGAAGGCAACAGAGAAGATTTGCATCGGTTGGAGAGCGTGGGCCAAGGCCAAGTAATAAGCGTAAGAAAAGGCAGGGTAATACTGAGGATGGAGTCGGGAATGCTAATGGTAATACTCAGGGGAATGAAGGCATGGATCCAAATTTCAATGCCAGTAATCCTGAAGAGAATGCGCATGGTAATACTCATGGTGGAGGCTGGTGGCAATATTTCAATGCCAGTAATCCTGAGGGTAATACTCAGGGTGGATCTAGTACTCAGGACAGATGACAATTTTAATTTGTAAGCTTATTAATAAATTGGTACAATTATGTGAGAATAAATTGGTACAACTACGTGAGAATGCTATGTTTCATTTCATAGTAATTCAAATAGTTCATAGTAATATGGAGTTGACTAAACAGTTCATACTAAAAAACAATAGAAAATTAGTTCATAGTAAAAAGAAGTTGACATTCACTACAAGCAGAATACAGAGTTTTTAACTAATCAATAACACAAACATAACTAGTTCCAACGGATATGTAGCCATTCCCAGCTAGTAGTCAGTTACAGAAGTAGTAAATTCTTCGCACATTGGTAATGCATGTAGAGGAAGCAGAGCTCACAGCACTTGTTGTAGTGCTAGAATCGACATGCAGGGAAATCGGTCAAGACTGCTGGCAGATATTGAAAACCATCATTCACCATTATCAACATAGTGTTCATTACTTGATCCCCCAGTTCTTCCATGTACATCATCCGTGATTTCCAACCATCGATACGGTCTAGGATTTCCAGGCCCCTTGGATAGAAACCATATGCGGTTGCGCAGATTGCCATCATGACTGTCGCAGCATCAATTTCTGCCTTAGAGGCCCGGTTAAAAAAAGGCACCGAATTGTCGATCTCAACATCGAGAATCATCCGGCTCATGCCACGAAGGTACAACGCGTATGGATTACCATGACTGACTGCCAACTCAAAGAAGTCCGGGGAGCAAGCAATTAAACGGGGGTGCTTAATGAATTCAGACAGGTTCAACACCTTGATGACTTCTGGATCTTTCAACATCTGGCTTAGAACCTTCGCTGTACAATCAAATGAAACAGCATCAGCAGCAGACTCTCTCCCTACCCTTAGGAATATATCAATCAACACATCTCGTAGCTGGAAAAGCACGTTGTTTGTCATTCTGACGAAAACTTAAAAGAGAGGGTTTTGAAATTTGTATAGATAAAGAGAGAGAGAGAGAGAGATATCTTCAAGTATGGATTTGAATATGTATTTGAAATTTGAAATGTGGTGAAATAACGGAACCTATTACAAATTTGTAATGGATAAAAAAATAAAAATATAAAAAATCAGAAGCATTGTCAGACGGGAAAAAAAGAATTTCCGGAGAAAAACGTTACAACTATATTCTCACAATAGTTAACCATTTTAATTTGTAATTGTATGAATAACTTGGTACAACTATGTTCAACTATTTTCAGCTCTTGGTTTTGGGTTTGCTTGTTCCCTCGTCCTAAAAATAAAGAAAACTCTATGTGTCCAAGGGTTTTCTAACAATTATGGAAAACGAGTGAGAATGTTCTCTTTCATTTCATCGGAAAATGAGCTTCCATGAGAAATAGACACATATCAGTTACAATCAGTTACTTTTTACTTTATCAGATAAGGGTTGTGGGCCAGACACCGTAAGTGGAGTAGATGACTATACCTTTATAAGACATGACCTTTTTCAGACATTCTCAGTTAATATATTATTAAAATATATGAATACATTCTGTGTTGGTTCTAGGTTGCGGTATTTATCGGTTCGGTAAACCAATCTCAAATTACAATAACCATGAAATCGATTTCATATAGACCAAATTATATGAAATCGATTACATTCTCGTAGATTGTATGCATAGTTATGTTATGATTAACATTTAAACTAGCCAAAATAAGCAATTTATAAATCTTTGAACTTTGAAACAAGTTTTCTCATAATACACATCATAGTTCTATGAAGAGTTCACGATGAGTAACTACATAAGGCATCGAATAGAACGTAAAAAAGCGAAAACGAAATCTGATTACATGAACATGATGGGGCAACAAATTAAGTAGTACTTGTGAAAAGTTCAACTACATAATTACATATTTAATATAAGTAAAACTAGTTTTTTGGTTAAAATCGGAAATGTACAACTACTTGAGAGTGTGTATAACTGGCATACTACGTACAAAAACGTATCAAACCTCATATGAAGAAATGACATGTGTCCACGCGTTATTGGATATTAGGTATTGGCGGCGGCACGTGAGCGAATTCCACACGTGAGGGACGGCCCCATTTTCTGTGTGTAATACTTAAATAATATTATATTTCCCTTTTTCTCAGTTGTAATATAATTCCAATTTGAATTTCCCCCCAATACCCAAATTCAGCAAAATTCGAACTTCCCCCCACTTCCCCCCCATTTTGAATTTCATTTCACATATTTTTATTCTGTCTCTCTCTCTTGGGACATTCCTCTCTCTCTTTCAAATTTTGTGAACTTCCTTTGCTACAGCGACTATGGACCCGACCTACAGCGACGAGAAGAGAAACAAGAAGCTTATCGACCGCCTTTACCACGTAGCCGATGTAGAGTTTGGGATTTCAACAGTTTGTCCATGTGGTGGAGGAATCATCCAGGAGATTTGTATAAGGTTTGAATTACTTTAATTTTCTGGTTTTAGATTGATTTAAAATTCCTGGGTTGAGTGTATAAGGTTTAAGTTTATGAATTGTTGTGTAGAACGACAGCTACCACTTTAGGGTAAAATGGGATCACACTGTCGATGATGAGATTTCTAGGCTAAAATGTGAGATTAAGGACCTGCGCTCGAGGATTGCGAAAATGTCAAACCATGAATTTCAAATCAAGCAAATGCGCATGGAGCTGAACAACAATGCTGAAGAGATTGCAAAGCTGAAAGGTGTATTGGCGGGTTTAGGGTTTTATGTGTAGAACTGATACAGTTCTTTAACAATCCCGTTGTTCTTTAACAATTCCGTTGTTTAATGAATCCTTGTTTAATTCCCAGATTATTTCATTCGCAGACTAAGAAGTTATCTTATCCTTAATTTCTGATAATTTAATTTTACCGAGTTATGGTTTGACAAAGTACTCTTAGTTGGGCTATATTATACCAATTTGTACTACTTATTATAATTTCAAGAATTTGCACGTAGTTGGGCCGAATTATACCAATTAGTACCAGATTTTAAGGGTTCTCAAAGTTACACGTAGTTGGGCCAAATTATACCAAATAGTACCAGTATTTATGGGTTCCCAAAGTTACACGTAGTTGGCCTGAATTATACCAAAGAGTACCAGATTTTATGGGTTCCCAAAGTTACACATAGTTGGCCCAAATTATACCAAATAGTACCAGATTTTATGGTTTACCAAAGTTACACGTAGTTGGCCCGAATTATACCAAATAGTACCAGATTTTATGGATTACCATAGTTACACGTAATTGGACCGAATTATACCAATTTTCACCAGAGATTTAAATTTCCCCAAGTTGAACGTAGTTGGGCCTTATTATACCAAATTGTACCATAACTTATAATTTTTTTAAATAAATTTGCCCTGGACGAATTAACCCCATGTAAACAATTATAACGAATTCTATTATTTAGGGTTTCTTCATATTGTACGGTTATTTCACATATTAAAGAATTAGTTTCGTAATACTTACCTCACTACAAGAAAAGATAGAGTTAGCAACGACTTTTTACAACGAATTATTGTCGTCGCAAATTAACGATGAATTAACGACGATTTGGCACACAATCGTCGTTAATTCGTTGCAAAAAAATCGTTGTAAAACCGTCGCCATCTACGACGTTTTTACGACGATATTTTGTTTTTAGAAATTAATAATTTTAAAAAAAATAAATCGTCGTAAAATCGTTGCAATTTACGACGATTTTACGACGATTTATTTTTTTTTTTTTTTAAAATTGTAAAATTGTTTTTTTTAATTTTTTAAAAAAATTGTTTTTTATTAAAAAAAAAAATCAAATCGTCGTAAAATCGTCGTAAATTACAACCTTTTTACGACGAATTTTTTTTTAAAATTTTTTTTTAAAATTTTGTTTCAAATTTTTTTTATTAAAAAAAAAATCAAATCGTCGTAAAATCGTCGTAAATTACAACGATTTTACAACGATTTCATAAAATATACAAAGTCCCACATCGGTAGTTTTGGAAAATTTGTTCTAGTATATATATACCTACTCATAACTATTAAACAATCAGTGTATCACTATCATCAGAGTAACCACCGCCCACCACGGATCACCAACGGCGACCACCGGCGACCACCACCGGCGATCTGAGTGGATCCTTACTAAGATGGTGCAGGAAGTGGTGGATGAAAAAGATAAACAACTTAGGAGGCTGGTGTTTGAATTTTTCCTCCAAATTTTCGCTCAGTCTCCTAAGTTGCTCATCTTCTCATCAACCACTTTCTGTACGATCTTAGGGTTTCATATCGAGAAGGATAAGTAAGCGGTTTTTTCTAAAAGGAAATGAAAGGTTGGGGTGATGAAATGAGAAGGAGACTAGGGTATTTAAGGATAAGTGGGTGGTGGTTGGTGACGCCTGTATGCGCTACAATTATAATGTAAGACTGGTACAACTACTAAGCCTGGTAAACGATATCATTTATTATCATTAATGTATTGAAAATAAAATAAAAAATTCTATTCCAAGTAATAATTAATGTTGGAAAAGTGAATAATAGAGATATCATTGTAAATACAAATTAAGTGAAAATATCAAAATAAAATAAAACAAAAGTACAAAATAAGAAAACAAAAACATATCTCAAGAAGATGCGGCCGTGCCATTTTGAGAGAGTTCACTTGATGAACAGACAGTTATTTAAAATTAGGGTTTCTGACAAGTCGAGAATAAATAGATGTTACAATGAATTAAATGAAATGAAAGAAATGAAATGAGTAGTGGGGTATTAAATGAAAATTGAGGCGTTAGTTATTATCATTAATCTATTTAAAATGGGATTATAAAATTCATCGAAACACGACTACTCGAAAAACAATTTATTCATTGAATCTAACTGCTTCCTTTACTCATTCTCTCCTTGACTATATATATATATATATATATATATATATATATTCCTGATCTTACCCTGGAGATCACATAAACCCTAAATGTCGTCTTTCAAAAACACATAAACCCTAAAATAATCATCAATATCTTACTCGCTGATCTCAGACTCTTCATCAGATGAAAAACCCATCATACACCTTAAAAGCAAGAAGGATGGGTATTTCATCTGATGAAGAGTCAGATCAGCGAGTCAGATCTTACCCTGGAAAAATGTCGTCATTAAAAAACACATAAACCTGAAAATAATCATCAATCTCTTACTCGCTGATCTCAGACTCTTCATCATATGAAATACCCATCGTACTTACACCATAAAAGCAAAAAGGAAGGGTATTTCACTTGATGAAGAGTCAGATCAGCGAGTCAGAGTTTGGTCAGCGAGTTTGGTCACCTGATGTTGCAGACTGGGAAATACAAGGTTTAATCTTTGTTCAGGCAAGAAAAACATGAATACAAGTATAAAGCGTTGTTTGGCGTTGATTGCTCATGCTTATACTTGTAATCTTGTTTTTTTTTTGCCTGAACAAAATTAGGCTTTGTAGGATGCAAAGACGATGTAGGTTTTTGTATTCAGTTTTTCACATTTGGTTTTTGGTTTACAGTTTTTCATTTTAGAATTTTGGATATCTTCGTTTGTAATTTTTGGTTTAACCTCAGTTATTTTAAAAAAATATTTTTAAAGAATAATTACTTTAAATAAGATAATAAATTCCTGTGATTTACGCTTATCCATTATGAATAAAAAAAGAGGTGTCTGCTTGATGACGTCTTCACGCGTAACCAATATAAATGAGGCTATAATGAGTGCGGATTCTCGATGTAAAACTGGTCCAACTACCAAGTCTTATCAGATGTTAGGGTTGCATGTAGGTTATTAAAACATCAACGTTACGAGACCCAAAAGTTTGTGAAATATTTTCATTAATCACAAAAACACATAATAATATTAATAACCAAATAAAAACATAATATAAACATACAGAAAACATAATAAGAAGTTCAACGAAAACTAAAAACAAACATAAAAAAACACAATTATTTAGAGTCTTTTCCGCCATGGATGTTATGTTAACCATCCATGGCGTGGATCTTGGTGAAGCTACGTGCGAGTTCCTCGTAGCTTGCCCTGTCTTCCCGATACATCACCGCCACCTCCTCCCTCACGACGTCGCCTTCCGCCACCAGCGGATGCAATAGCATCTGGGCCAGACTCATCAGCATCTGGGCCACAGATGTCGTGATGCACCACGTATCAGGCATGAGCATCGGATGGAAGATGTTGCCACGATGGCTCACATTGGGGTGGAAGATAGGGGTCCGGAAGTGCACCTTCGGTGGCTTCCAGGGGAAATCCGGAGGGAAGATGATGCAGAGAAAGAAGACACCCCCTTCGTAGGGAGTTCCCTGCGGACCGGTGATGGTCGCCGTCCACACATACACGTCATCTGCCTCCACACCGGCGGAGTATATGGGCGATGGGTTTCGCTGGAGGTCAAGCAGGTATCGACGCATCCAGTACTCGGGACGTGTTGATGACGCCGGACGAATGTTGTGAGCAAAGTGGACCATTTGGGGAAATTAGGGTTTTGAGTTAGCAAAAGGAAAGATAAGATTTATTTTTTTTACGTTTAGGGAATGTTTCTTTCTCTGCGATGGTGTTATGAGAAGGCGAGGGTGTGGTATTTATAGAAGAAGAAGTTAAGCGGTGGCATGCATTAATGGCGTCGTCTCACTATGGGATTTCTCTCACTATACAAATGCTGCCTTTCTCTATTCCCACACGCGTCGTTTCCTTTTAGATAACATAATTTAATAACGACAAGACAGTTACCCGAAAACCAAAGAGGAACAATATTTTAAACTGACTAATACCAAACCGAAATCCTCTAATTAAATATAAACCGATTCTGATAACAATAGCAAACCAATATCCTCAAAATAAATTTAAATTTTGCAAACAACACGATCCCACTATTTAGTTCTTAAAACAACCATAAATTCAAATCGACAGGATGAAAGAGTGAACATCTGAGACTGTTAATTCCTACTCTTCTTCTTCTTCTTCTCATGCTGCACCACCCCTTCCTCGACTGAAACACCAGATTGTTCCTACATGGTAACAAAGATATGTGGTTTATACTATAGTTCTACCTATTAGTATCAACTAATACCTATTACTACCAAATAATACCTATAGGTACCAAATAATACCTGAATTCCAGACCGTTGTCTGGTCAAATACTTTCTCACAACCGCTGCCTTTGTCTTCGTCTTCTTCTTTTCCTTCTTTGCAACCTCTCCTCCAACTTCTTCATTCTCTTCTTCTCCTTTTTTTTCTTCTTCTCCCTCTTCTTCTTCATCACCTTGTTCTTCTCCTTCATCACCTTGTTCTTCTCCTTCCTTATCTTCTCCAAGACATTCACTTCGAATTGCCTCTTTCACATAAGATTCAACGGACTTCAATCTAATATCCATGCCATTGATTTGGTCTCTCATTAGTTGGAACTGCTCATCCATACTCTTCTTCAACCCTTGAATCTGGTCCACAATCCCACTCGGCACTGGAGATTTAGACGAGGCATTCTTCGCTGGTTCAACTCGGTTTTTTCATCGTCCAAGCTCATATCCTTCCAGAATATCGGCTTCCCATCATCAATTATACGACTCGTCCAAGTATCAGGAATTGTATCACTGTTCTTTGGGTCTTCATACCTTTCCATGATACCAGCTAACATATCTTCCTCATCAGCAGATGGTTCCAAGATACTCTGGATATTTTTGGTATTACTGAGTGTTTCGTAGAGGTCCGACAGAGGAAATTCTTTGAGAGTGAATGGTCTGAACTTTGTCTTACACATCCGAGGACACTCTATGTCTGCTCCTTTAGCTTATTCTCTGTATGTGTCCTTCAGACAAGGTATTGCTTCAAAAGGTAGCAACTCCAAGGGAGTAACAAAGCCAGGAAATGTCCAAGAATCGGTTTCGACGACCCCATTGAAGTGCCTCAATGTATGTTCAATTTCCTTTAGATTTGCATCAAATGAATACCTCCCACAAGGAAATGTTCTACACGCATCGAGATCTTCTACCATCCTCAAGAATAAAGGGTCTACCGAGGGAGCTCCCTTCCCCGTCTTAGCCTTACCACCTAACACGCTTGCTAGAAAGTACAAAACACACATTCTTAAGCGATCAGGACCACCACGCATCTTTTCAAGCTTCTCTTTAACAACATCAAATGCAGGGACAGTTCCTTTCTTAAAATACTTCTCCTTAAAATCACTACTGCCCATCTTCTCATAATTCTTTGGATAATCATGACAGTCTAATCCAGATATGAGTGCATGTTCCTTAAGCGAATACCAAATTGGAACTCCATTAACAGCAAACCAACACTCTCTCCTCTTGTTTGTCTTTGCTGTGCGTAGAAGTAGCATCCACAACCTCTGAGTCTTATGGGTTGTATCCAAATACATGGCCTTGTGCATATGCCAAAAGTGCTTGAATTGAGGATGCTCGCTAAACCATCTTAGCTCCTCGGGTCTCAGTCCCAGTGACGGCGACTCCAGATTCTCCACTGCTTTGTGGATCTAACACCGAGTACCTAACTTTATTGCCTTGTTGTACTGATTTGGACTAAAATACATACTCAGCGATTGCATTAGCGGCTGGTTTTCCTCATCATTACGCGTTTGTTCATTACGCGTTTGCTCCTCAACCTCACTACGAAAGCGTAATGGCTCCCACAGCGTTAATTGAAGCGACTCACTATCTCCTCCAAATGATGTCATTACAGTATTTCTATGAAGTTAAGACACATCTAGTTATCACCGGGATCCACACATCAGTCAAATTTTATAGGTAATACTAATTTCAATTCCTCGTTCCTAAACCCAGGTATCAGACACTACAGATTCATTCGTAAGTCTTCTGCCTAAGATAAGCTTACAGTAAAACGGCAAAAACAAAGAAGAACGAAGAACGAACCTGATGCGAATTTGAAGAGAATAAATAGAATTGTGACCAGTTTAGAAAGAAATCGAAGACTCTTCGTAGTATCCTCGTAGTTGTATCTAATGGAACGAATTTCCCAGAAATGATTTACATTCGAATTTAGGGTTATTCAAATTTAGATTCGAAATCGGATTCAGTATAACTAACTGGATGTGGATATTTGATCCATGACTAGTTGGGTCAATCAATATTATAATGTTTTAAGGGTGATTGAGTATTTTCTCGCTTTTCTGATTTAAAAATAATTTAAAAATAAATTAAATTTTATAGTGCTGGTATATGAAAAATGGTGAATTAGTATATGAGGGTTTGATTCTTTTTAATATCATCAAATGTCCATTAAGCAGAAAAAATATTATATCTGACAATTCATTTTCAAAAAGACGTTGATGAGATTCAAGAAAATTCAAGTGATTCTTCTCAAATTCTCCCCAAATAGCTAAGCAATTAGGGTTTCTGAGTTCGAAGAGACTGACCGGAGGGAGAACAATGGAAGGCAGCAAAAGCGAGGCTGTGTTCGATTCCATGAATCTGAATCCTCAGCTTTTCATCAACGAAACAATCAACACTGTCAACGACGTCGTCGACGAAGCTTTTGATCTCTATTTCCAGTAATATCTCTCTTCCTCTCTCTCACTTGCTTGTTTGATTCGTCGATGCAAGCTTTTTTCTAACTTTTTACTTTTGCAGTGAAGCATCCAAAGCTCTCAAAATCGAAGGAGGATCTGATGATAGGTCAGACGAGTTATCAAACGTGAGTTTTATAGTGCTTGATTTCGGTTTATTCTTCTTAATCTTCTTCTTCTGTTAAGTTTTCTTACTCTCTAATGTCTATTTAGGGTATGGATTGTGTTCGTGATATGATTCAATCTGTTCTGGATGACCGCTTGGATATGTGGGAAGTCTTTTGTATTAGACACATTTTCGCAGTTCCTGAAGAATATATGCTACCAGAGAGTGTGAGTCTACATGTCCTTCATTGTCTCTGTCGCACGCTTGTAATGTGATTTGCTGAATCCTTTTTTGTTCATCAGGATGAGTCGTCTGTTGACAATATCCAAGATGGGTCATATGATTTGGAGTTGGATGCACAGTTGGATTCTCTTAGGCATAAGCTTACTCTAGTGAGACAAAACGGTTCTGTCTTCTGATACTTTGATCATTGTTCTCTTACGTTTTGATTTACTAAACTTGAGACACAACTTTGTTTCAGGTAGGAGAGAGGTCTGCTGAGCTTAACTTGGAGCTCCAGGCTCTAGAAAGAACCTCGGCTTCGAATGAACAGTCTACGAGACTAGTTAATGAGGCTTTGCGGGTTTATGACGAATCGTCTGTGGATGATATGTTCAAAGGTAATCAAGATGCAAACTTCATCTTAGCCTTTGATGTATTGAGATCTCAAGATTCACTTTAATGGAATGATTTGGATATTATGTTTCCAGATACACTGCTAGCTAAAGTTTGATTAGTGTCCTGATCTCACTTAGAATATAGTTATGAAATCTCTTTACCATCTTCTGAAGATATACTGATGTTTGCTCTGATGGGGTAGTGGTAGTGGTAGTCTACTGTTTTGTTAAGGAAACCTTTGTTTGTTTGATTGTTCATAGAATAAATAGAGACGACTTGCAATCTCAATATATTGGTTTTCTGCAGAGATGGCAGAAGTGGCATCAGAACTTCGTGCAGGGATCGATAGGCTAAAAACAAGAAGAATGAACGCCGTTGATAGCGATAAAGTGGAGAGGCTAAAGAACGATGGCAAAGAGTTTCCAGCGGCGACCTCCGGTAACAAAACATGACATTGTTGTAGTGATGGCGAGTTAGAATAACTAGTGGTCCATGCTTATTATCTTCCTTCTTTTCCTGTGGTTTCTCAGATGGAAAGCTTGAAGACCTTGAAAAGTTTCTGGCCGAAATAAGAAAGATGTGAAAATGGTTTAACATTTTGTTTCTGAACTCTGCCGTTTTGTAAATGACTATCTTGACATCTTCTATAAAGACAACGTCGTTTCAGGCTTACCAAATGGTCACTTCTTCTCGTATGAACTGTTTTTTTTTTTTAATATGCCAAAGTAAAAAGAACAGACAGAAAAGATCCTAAGCTTTTCTAAATAGAAAACATGGAAACAAAGCTCATTTGGTATATGTGAATCTCTAACTTTGATTTACATTTGGGTACGTATTGTCCAAAATAGTACACTTTAAAACTTTTGTTCGAGATTTAGCATCATTAGTTTAAATTACTAATAATATCACAAAGTTAATATAGAAATCCTTTTCTGATTGGAAAAACTAACCCCGGGAAATAGAGAACCCAGACAATGTTTTGATTTTATTTTGATTTTATTTTCGGTAAACAAAGTATTTTCTCATAATCATTTGTGATGTTTTCGGAATTTTTAATTTGGTGTGCTAGATATGAAAAAAATAACCTAATTTTTGTGTCATTTTAGGGTATTTCCCTTTACGACATTTTGTCTCGTATACAAAAAAAGAAAATGTAAGTTTTATATGTGCTTATTAGCTTAATGAAGATAGACAAGTGTTCAACGTTATTTTAACAAAATAACTAAGACCAATAGTCGTTGTTGTAAAGAACCTATGTTGATGCTGCATCTGGTCCCCCTGTTTTAAAAGATTCGACCTTGAATCGAGCGACTGATCTAGATGAACATAACGAGATAGTACTTCACAATGAAGACATCAGAATTATTGAGATCCCCGGGCAGACGAGGACGTACACTACAAGAAAAACACTGTTTTACAACGGCCAAAATGGTCGTTATTTCGTCGTAATAGCCCTATTACGACGGACTACCGACAATTTCAAAATCGTCGTAAACTCATCGTCGTAATAGACAAATCGTCGTACAACCGTCGTATACTCTACGACGGTTTCTTTTCGTCGTAACATCGACGGAAAAAGATCGTCGTAAATGCGTCGTACATTTTACGACGACTTTACATCGAATTGCGTCGATTTGGTTTTCGCCTGGACCGTCGTTAAATCGTCGTTAAAAATCGACGTAGGATCGTCGTAAAATATACGACGAAATTTTCGTCGTAAATCAATCGTAAACTATTTTACCATTCTGTCGTAAAATCGTCGTAAAACACGGACGTATAGTCGTCATATTTGTCGTCGTACATTTTGGTCGTAACTTTGTCGTACTTTTTACGACGAATATACGATGGTTTAATAAAATAATAATAATTATATTACGACGATTATACGATGTTTTATATAATTGAAAAAAAAATAATTCAAATTAAAATTTAAATTAAAAAAAAATTAATTTAAAATTTAAAATTTAATTAAATTTCAAACTAAAATTAATTTTAGTATTTACAAAAATAACCCTAAAGATCTAACTCTAAATCTAAACTAAGGTCGATTCCGTCACCGGCCTGCTCCCCATCATCTTCCACATGTTCTTTGCTGGGTCTTCGGGTTGAGGTTACCGCCGCCTGATCCCCGGATCTTCGGTTAGAGGCTTCCGGCGCCTGATCTCCGACTCTAGGAGGATCAACCCCGAGAGACCGGAACATCTCCTCATCCGTCTGCACCGGTGGTTGCCTCTTAGAAGATGACCCGGCAGACGATCCGACAACTCCATCAGCCCGCAGCCTGTCCAACTGCGCCATGAGCACCGGGTTGTCGGCTCCCATGATCTCGAAGAGACCGTACAGCTGGTCGATCTTCGTCTCGTAGTGGGTCCGCATCTGATCGATCTCCTGGCGGATAACCGGATCCGGAGCCCGGACGTGACCAGTCGCCGTAGCTGCCGGGGTATCACGGATGGATTCCATCCCTAATACCCGCCTCTTTTTCTTAGGGGCAACCTGAAAATATTGAAATAAATTATGGTTAAAAATTCAATTAGGGTCGATTGGACCGAGCTACCTCCGGGAGACGTTGGACGCGCCTGCTGAGTGAGTTGCGTCTGCCGCTCCTCGATCGCCGCACAGGCAGCGTTGTAGATATCCTCCGCCCGAGGATCCGTGAATTCGCCGTTCCGCTTCTTATGCGTCTCGGCGAAGACCTTCGTCATCGGAGGAAGTTGTCCCCCGTTTTCTTCGACCTACAAAATCAAAATGAAAATATTAATAAGAAAATAAGAATTAATTATTTAAAAACAAGAAATTAATAATTTAAATTAAATTACCATCATAAGTCATCTTCCGGCAAAAGGAATCTGGCCGGAAGTGTGCGGGACGTTCTTTTGATTTCCCGCATCGTCAGTAGCGTTCCTGAAAAATATATTCATTAGAATGTATTATAAGAAGGAAAACACATAATGTAATTATTATTTAAGTTAAATTACCTAGATCTGGAACACTTGGCGGCAGTAGTCTGGTTGTGCGGATTCAACTAGTACTGGACCAGACCCCGCCAGACGGTATTGGCCATAGGCGCCGGCTTGGCCTTGTCGCCGTCAACCTCCCACTTCCGTTTCCAGTCGGAAACGGTGTTGTTGAGGCGGAATTTGACCTTCTCCTTGAAGGCCGTCTCCACACGTCCATGTGCGGATGTTTCCCAATGCCAGTTTTGCTAGGAAAAAAACAAAAAGTTAGTAATTATTGTAAAAAATTAAAAATAATAATTAATATAAATCAAAATGGTAAAGTATTTACCGTAAAACACTTGAACCAAGTGTCAGAAGAAACCCATCTGAACAGATTTAGAAAGATTAGAAAGATTACAGACATACCCATCAGGAAATTTAACATCAGAAGAAACCCATCTGAACAATGCTGACTTTTGATCTGCACTCAACCGAAATACAGGAACTGGTGCTTTCCCGTTTCTCAGTATATGCAACTCACTTCTGTTGCATAAATCAGGCAAGTCCAATCTTGACTTACCATTTTCTTTTGTTCTTCCTGCTACGTTCATAACTGTATGCATGATGTTATCAAAAAAGTTTTTTTCAATGTGCATGACATCAAGATTGTGTCTGAGCAGATGATCTTTCCAATAGGGTAGTTGCCAAAAGATACTTTTCTTGTGCCAATTATGATGAACTCCATAACCTTCAGGCATATTTGCAGGAGTGTGCCAGTTTCCCCCACGCGTTACTGTTTCCTCTGCCCTCCATTAATGATCGATTTGCGCATGTATATCAGCTCGTGTTAAATTTACGGGTGGAGGGACATGTACACTTTTGTTCTTCAAAAATAACCTCTTGTTCCTCCGATATGGATGGTTATCCGGTAAAAACCTCCAGTGACAATCAAACCAACAAGTTTTTCTACCATGTTTTAGCTGAAACGCATCAGTTCGATGAAGACAATAAGGACAAGATAGCCTCCCATGTGTAGTCCATCCTGATAGCATACCATAAGCGGGGAAATCACTTATTGTCCACATAAGCACAGCCCGCATAGTAAAATTTTTCTTCGTAGAACAGTCATATGTGCGAACGCCAGTATACCATAACTGGTTCAACTCATGTATGAGTGGCTGCAGAAATACATCGAGAGCTCGCTTCGGATGATTTGGACCTGGAACCAAAATACTTAGGAAAAGAAATTTCCTTTGCATGCACAAATCTGGAGGAAGGTTATAAGGAGTTAGGATTACTGGCCATAATGAATATTGTCTACCAGACATACCAAATAGACTAAAACCATCAGTGCACAGACCAAGATAGACATTTCGTTTGAACTTAGCAAAATCTGGGTATACCATATTGAAGTGTTTCCATGCCTTTCATCTGATGGATGAACAACTTCTCCATCTACTTGTGTATGTTCCGCATGCCATCTCATTGATGCAGCTGTCCTTTCAGATTGATAAAGCCGTTTTAACTTATCAGTTATAGGGAGATACCACATACGTTGGTACGGTATCCTTTTACGCCCACCAGTTTGCGGCTTGTATCTTGGTTTTTGGCAAAATCGACATTCCTCTAGCTGATTATCATCTTTCCAAAAAATCATACAGTTGTCAACACATACATCTATCATCTCAGAAGGTAGACCAAGACTAAAAATCAACTTCTGTATTTCATAGTATGTTGCCGCTGCCAAGTTATCCTCCGGTAGATACTCTTTCAGAAGATCAGCCCAATCATCCATGCAAACCTCAGCGAGGTTATGATCAGTTTTAATTGACATCATCCTAGCTGCCAACGATAATTTAGATAGGCCTTCTCTACATCCTTCGTAGATTGGCTGATTAGCATCGTCTAATAAATCATAAAATCGTTTGGCATCTACATTAGGTTCCTCAACAGCATTACCAGTATGCGTTTTATGAAATGCATCAGTCACCATTTCATGCATCCTATCATGATCTACACTTTGATCAGATTGATACTGATTAGGCTGATGACCATAATTCGATTCATCAAAATCAACATGACTTTGATAATTACTACTACTACCAGCATTCCCATGAGTATTACTGCCATATCCTTCTCCATGTAGATACCAAACAAAATATTGCGGCATAAACCCTCTATTTAATAAATGCGTCCACACGGTTTTGGTTAATGTATACCTCGTATTCTTGCATTTCAAACAAGGACAAAACATCTTCCCACTATCTTTCGTTCTCTCCATATTTGTAGCCTGATATATAAATATTTCTAACTCGTTCTTGAACTCTTCTGTCAACGCCCCATCTGAATCTTTACGCATATACATCCAACTTCTTAGCTCGTATATAGACATCTTGAAATAAACTCAAAATACTATCTCTTTTTATTGATTAGACAATAAAGGAGCTGGTCTCTTGTGTCACGTCTAGCCACGTAAATGGAGTAAATTAACCTTTTAATATTATTACTTCTTTTTTTCAAAGTAAATAACTCCTAATTCGGGTTTCCAGCAATGGACAACCCAATATATAAGGATTTACAACACTATACTAAAATTTAAGAGACATGATGATGCTCTTATGTTTGAATGATGATGTGTTGTGATTGAAAGAAGGAATGAAGATATATTTATAGGAAAATTTCGGGCTTTACGACGCTTTTACGACGCCTTTTTACGACGATTTTACATTC